TGATTGGCTGACAAGTGCCGCGAAGCGGCACTTGACAGCCAATATCATTTGTCCGGTTGAGCCAAATTGCCGTTATTATTATTCACAAATTTTTGCCCAATAATGTATACTTATACAATACGTACAAATCTATATAATAAATGAATATAATCCTAGTGTCGCAGCTGATGCTGAAATTTTAGGGTCTCTATTTAGAACTATAAAACCTTCTAAAACCAATCTATGCACTTTAATTAATAAATACTGACCCTAAACTATACTCAAACTATTATATGAAGACTAAAAAAATGCACCCCAAAAATTGTAAAAATTCAATAATAAAATAAGTAATCAAAATTTCAGCATCAGCAATCAGCTGCGACATTTAGTATTAATAATTTAACCTGATAACTTGCAGTTGGTTCTCAGTGATATTAAGTGTGTTATTTAACTAAAATATTGAAGTTTCAATATTTCTTTTACTAATCATTTAAATTAAAAGCTTCCAACAGATGTATAATAATATTCAGTGGCTATAATACGTAGAACATTTTTCGGCGATCCGTGGATCATTATATGTCAATATATAGTCAGTTACGTAGAACCATTTTAAGTCCAATTGTGGATTTAACTCTTTATAATGCATACTCTGCAATATTAGCGGATAATTACATGTTTATTTTTTACAAGTATTTGGGTTTGATGAAAGATTAACGAAATTTAAACATAACGATAATACAAATTTAGTAAATATTAGTTTTATCATAAGACTAAAACAACTTTTGAAAAAGACAATTTTTATATTGGCAAACATAAAATGTTTGGTTGGAATATAAGAAAGGTAATTTATACAATGTGAATTTTTATCAGGTTTTTTCATAATTTTGTAATTCAATAGAATCTTTATGTATTATTACCCATGTATAATCTAGTATCATGGGGCATTTGTTGGATTGACAGCATTTCTTTTCAAGGGACTAAATCCGTTAAGTAATTTTAAGTAATTGCAATTAATTTTCTTCGGTAATAGGTATTTCAACAAATTATAAGTTAATATGGTTTAAAAAAGATCTGTACCGTGGTTAGATAAGGGCTAGTTAAAAAATGATTGACACTAATGCTGATTATAAAATGTAAGTGTTGGTTTATTAATTTTATGATAAAGAATTATCATTTATAACAAAAATTATGTAAAAAAATAATAATTTTGAATAATTAAAATTTATTATTTGTAAATATATATTTTAGTTAAATAAAAATTATTAACATTAGTTTGAATTGGGTTCGACAAGCTAACTTTATAGCTAAAGTAGTTTGAGTTTGGCTATTGAGCATACACAAATCAGTCTAGGTAAATAGAGTTCACTATCTTTAAGCGTAAGATTTTTTTTGTTTTTCTTTTAGCTTCGTTTAATGTTTTGTAAATTGGGTTTGCATTGAATTAGTGGGGAGTTCAGTTCAGTTAAATGTTTATATAAAACAATTAAATAATGGATAGGTTAACCAAAACTTTCAATTGTTAAAAACATTGGCAACATTGGCAACATTGGCAGATATTCTTTAAAATCAATGAAACCTGGTAAACTGACTATTTTATGATAATAATATATACTGTTTAAGTTGATTAGTTTAGTTTAGAAACTGGTCTATCAATAGCCGTTGATAACTAGTAAACTGTTCATAATCTTAACATATCACTTGTAAAGTTTATTTCCTTTGTTATGATTTGTATTTACTGTATATATAATAGTGAATTTCAAAATGGTACTGTACTTACCGTTATGACTAAAACAGAACAATTAACGTTTCATTATAAATTGTTAGTACTTATTAGAATACTTTGAATTTGAAATTCTTTTGATAAAATTTAGTTGTTTAAAAAAAAAAACTTTTTGAAAAAATATATAATAAAGTTGTTATATAAAAATGATTAGTTTGACCAATAAAAGATAAAGAAATATAATAAAAAAATCTAATAATTTTATTTTATACATTCGCTAGTTCAGAAGATAGTTTTATATACTTATTATTTACAATCACTAATCAACACAAGTAGAGCAATAAATCTTTTTTACAAGTATTCTTTCAAAATTTTTGGTGTGATATGCAAAATTTCTAAATATTTTCTATATTATCTAAATTCTTTCCGTATCTCTTCACATTTAATTTAAACGGTTGGATAATGTTTAGAAGATATTTAGAAAGGTTGCATATCTCACCAAGGATTTTTGGAAGAATACTTGTCAAAAAGGTTTAATGTTCTGCCTGTGCAAATAATTTTATTAATTATCACTATATCGTCAGTAATATACTTGTTGCATTAGACACGATCTGAAATTTAAATTAATAATTTAAGGTTTATGTTTATTCTGACTATTTGTGACAAACTGTTCTATTACATTAATAATACAAGAGAAGTTCTAGCATCTATCGAGATTCCGAATCATTTTATATTTCTGTAGATTCACCCTGCGTTGGTTTTGTCATAAGATGAGGTGTGTTAAAGGCGGTTGGTCGTGTGATAAAGGTTTTGTCGATTCTGTATGTTTGGATGATTTGGAATAGGTTCCTTTGCCATTTTTTTTATTGATTTTTTTATCCAATTTTCTTTGGTGCTTTTTTAATGATTTAACCATACATTGATGTTCATATTCCCATTCTTCAAACGCCTTTATTTTTAATTTACTCGAATCAAATTTTCCTTTGATGTCACCATGTTCGTCTTTTCTGGTATCACCTAATACTTTACGCGTTTCTCCCCAGGAGAAATCATCAAAATGCCAATATGCATATAAAGGAAGAATAAAATTCCAAATAGGAAGCGCCAATAGATAAACTACAATAAAGAAATATAAGAAAAAATGTATAAATTAGTATTACCATCTTACCGCAAATAAGCCTAGACCTTTGAGATGGTATTTTATTTTGCGGAAAGTGCTTATATGCGATAGGATACGGTAATTCATATAGTAAACATAGAATACATTATTACAACTAAATAATTTGAAATTTACCAAACATCCATAAAACATAAATTATTTTACGGGTTGTTATGATAACTAACACTCCAGGTAAACCCAAAATCAAAATCAAAAGGAGAAGCGGAAGGATTTGTATATAATCATTAAAAACTGAGGTAAATATCAAGTAAAATGTAAAGACTAAAGCAGATGGCAAAACTACTGTTCCTATAATATCCAAAAAAATTACAAATTGCATCGAGAGGCATGCAATTCCACAAAGGTCACTGACAAGTACAAGTTCTAAAAGATTATGAACGGTGGAGTTAATCCATCGACGACGTTGAGAAAGCAGCACAGAAAAAGTGTTGGGTACGGTAGTGTGACAAATAGCTTGCGGAATAAATAACATTTTACGATGTGGAAAATTACGAAGCATAAGAGTTGATAGATATCTATCCTCTCCTAAAAGTAAAAGATTTTTTTCATGCAATGTTGTTACAACGTCTTTTTGATATTCGGAGACAATATCAGGATTGGATAAAATAGGAACCCAAGCGCCATCCTTTGGTGCTTTAAGTCGGTACATGCAGAAACAACCTGGCAGGCAAGTTACACCACCAAAAACTGATTCGAAAGATTTACCAAGATGATGAGAAATATAATATTCATAAACTTGTATGCCTGTTACCCAAGATTCAGTTTTGTTGGCGATACGTGTTTCTCCACAACAACCCATAATGGATGGATCTTTTTTCATCGCAGAAACGAGATAAGTCAATGATGAGGGTGCAACTTTTGTATCAGCGTCGACCTAAGAGTATATGGTACTAAGAATAAAGTGTGAAAGATAAAACCAAAGATTTTTTTCAATTACCATTAATAAAAGCTCAAAACTATCAGCTGTGATACCCATCAAATAATATATCTTCCAGAATAATTCATAATCCAATTCGGTAAATCTTTCATCGAAATATACACGCTCAAAAAAGTTCATAACAATCATCTATAAATTTAAACTAGTTAAAATTTGTAACTGAAAAAGAAAATATATTTTTAAATAGGGTGAATAAACCGTCCAAGTAAACGAGTATCACCTGAGAATCTCGCTTTCCACGGTTGCCAGGTTTTGGACTTTTAGCTTCTTTTTCACTACCGATTTTAACAACAAGAATCACAGGAGCTCGATGACCTTTACGCGAATAATGACCAGCATACTAATATTTACATATAATTAATACAAATTCAAAGATTTAAAGTATTTTACAATCAATAATCTCATACCACTTTTGCTCGATTAAATCGCTTTTCACCATCAGCAATCGCAATATAAGAACAAGGATCAACATTGCTAATTTCCGGATCTAAATCAAGAAGGCCTATGCAAATATCTGAAGTGTAATGCTTATTCCCTTTACCTTTGATCATCCCGTCAACAACGATGAAGAATAACTGCAAACATTATAACAGTTAAGAAAGCTTTTTTTTCTTTTTTTAAAAAAAAAGGATAATCTTTTACCTTATGTTTATCGCTATAATCAGTTGTTACTAAACTATCTAACGTTGTTCGTAAACCCTGTTTGTCTTCAGAATAAACAGTCACAAGCATTACAGTGTAAAGGAGTTTATTGGCCGTTTTTCCAGGCTTAGATACATTAGTTAGCTTCCTGGAAAGGATCAACCCAAATAGAAGTGACATGATAAATCGTACAAGCGTGAGAGCCACGACGGTGCCAACAGAAATTAACATTATAATAGTATTTATATAACATCCAGCAGTTTGAGTGGAGATAACACCAGCTTGATACCGTGATGAGATACATTGGATAACATTTGTCATTTCGGTGCTATACGTAACAAGCCTGGAAATGTCCTTACTACGAGGTTTATCATTAGTATAATTGGTATATAAGACCTCAAAAAATTGTCTATTTACAAAATATTCAGGAGAATTTTGATTAAGCCTGTTATTGTCATCTATTGTGTCATTGAAATATGAAGACAAGTTCATAACTATTTTCAAATATGAAAAGTTATAAAATTAGGGGTTAAGTTTACCTTTATGTTGTATAATTTGTAAATAAAATTCATACCTGTACCACTATATACAAATAATTTTGGATTCCAATTATTGAGATTATTTGGCTTTAGATCGTCCCATTCAAAAGCCAAAGTAGCGATAGGTTTCATTTTCAAATTTTTTACGGGAATACATGTTCCTGTCGATGTATAAAGTGAGTCTTCACCAAAAGGGTTTTTGACCTTACAATTACGTGTTACATTATGTCGTTTATTGAATTCATCACATTTTCCATTAGTATTATCGAAAATTGCACTGAGGTCAGCGTATTTATAGTCATTTGTAAGATTCATTTGTAAAGTATTAAAGAAAAAATCATGCAATTTGTTAAAATCGTAAATTTTGCCATAAATTATAGGATTATCTATTAAAGTCCTTTTTAATTCATTATTTGGCGGAACTTGTTGTGAGAAAGGAATTCTATTTTTCTCTTCTTCACTAGGACAGGTTAAATTACGAAAACCAACGGAAAGAAATCCAAGAATACCAGAGACAAAAGCAATTATTAAGCAAAGAGTGACCTATAGTTTTTTTTATATATTTTTTTGTCAATTTATCATCAAAAAAATTTTTAATATAAAACAAATTAATCGTGCCTTTTCTCTCCAAGCTTGACGGACCATCGGTTGTTTCATCCCACCCAATTTGCTCAATAAATATGATGGAGCCCAAAAAGTTATAATTCTGGCAAATAAAGCCCAATAGCTAAAAGGAGAACCATCTATTTCACCATATTTAAAAAATTTGTATATTTTCTTTGAAAGAGAGATATTTTCAATTTTTTTAATTTTTTCTTCTCTAACCGGAGCCATTCGTTCTCTTCTGTTATCATTGATCATGGTACGACGTGGCCGATGCCTTTCCGGGCGAACAAGATGGGAGGAACGACGACGACCATAGTTATATTGACCCGCTTCAGTAATATTTGAATTATTGGTAAGAGTCATAGGTGATGAAGGTGGGGTTGATTTATTTCTCGGGAGATTTGGAGGGGGATTTGATGTTGAGACTTTTTCTTGAGGATGAGAAGCTTCACCTTTTTTTAGGGATTTCTTTTGTTGCGACATTTTTAAGGATTGTAAAATTTAATGATGATCATTCCAACTCCCAGTTCGCGCTTGGTGAGAACAAAATTTTCAGTGTCCGTTGCCTTGAGAGTTTTCCCCGTTTGAAGAAAATCTCTACTTTTGGAAAAAGTACGACTCGTGAATATATTAACAACTGACAAGAAAAATATTTATGGAATCAGCTTATATCTGAAAAGTTTGCGTTGATCTGTTAATGTAAATCTGATATCAAAAAGGAAACGAACATCAAAAGCATGCTTTTTTTCAATAGAATCTCACAAATTTGAAATTTCATAATATTTTTTTAGATGGGATAATGACGTATTTGGAGCGGTCATACATTATTTATCGTTTATGAATTTCCTCCTTTAAAAGGATTTAGTAACATACAATCAGTAAATTCACAAGGTTTAAATTTATAAATACGTAGGATTAATGCATATCACTATGAGTAATTATAGTCGACAAGGTGGTCTTGGAGACCGTACAGGTTTTTATATATATGAAAAGCTAACCAAATCACTCGAATTGTAGCCGCCATAGTGGTAGTATTCTTTATTACGGTGATAGACACCAAATTAGTATATCATGATCAGTGTAAATCATGCCTTTTAAATGTCTACTTTTAATAAACCAAGTAATTAAAACACCTATTTTAATATTATTTGAATCGTCTCATCAAATGATATTAAAAATCTTAGGTGTTTAAATTATTTGTTATATGATATTCAAAAGCATATTCATATCGATTTTTACGTATTATATTCGATATAACGATAACATGTAAATCCCGGAAGCACTTTTCGAGTAATGATTGTCCCAACTGAGTAGAGACACTTTTGCAGTAACGCGATGTGGCGTATAGGAAATGACTACAGTCCAGGGTTGGGCAATTGGACAAAGTGGGTTGTCCAATAAATTTTAAATTTTTAAAATTGTCTGTAATTTTTTTTAGAAATAAGAAACCTCTGTTCAGAGTCAAGCAAACCAAATAATTAGGACAATAATCTACCACTAATTTTTATTCTATATATGTCAATAAATCAATGGACACTGGACAAATTTATATGTCCAATGAAATTCACTGGACATAGAGGGCTGCCCAACCCTGCTACAGTCAGACCTCCCTAAGTGCACAGATTATGTAAATTCTCTCTAAATGCATGGTATAGTTCGGTCCCAACTAATAAGAGCTCTATATATTTTTGCTCACTATAAATGCACATCCTCTCTAAGTGCACACTTTTTAATTTTTTTCCTATGGTCCCGAAGGGGTGCACTTAGGGAGGTCTGACAACGCACCTAGTATTGCCACCAAAATCAGGTACGTACGTACGTACGTAATTGCTTTTTAAATTCAATCTGAGGAGAATTTTAGAAGTTATTTATTTATTTATTTATTAATATTACTTATCAGAATTTAAGAATTTACTTAATTATCACTACGGATTACATTCGATTCGAATATTTAAAATGCATTTATACCCAAATTCAAATTTTTTTTAAATACACGTAAAAAGCTTTAAATTCAAATTTAATGCAATAAAAGATGTTTTTGCTATGTCCACTCCAAGATTCTTTGCTTATTTGAAATCCCTAATGTCAACTACCATTTTTTGAATAGGTTTAAAGTTTGATTCAATGCTTCGAAGCCATTTTTTTGCTTGGTAAGATTGTTAGATTTTTCAAGACAATCACATAAGATTAATAAAGATATTATGTAAACATAATAGGGTGATTCAAATCTAATGCTGATTTCGAATTAAATTAGTGACGTAATTATTTTGAAATCAGTGATTCGTAAAATTTATTTATTTTGATTTGTAAGCTTATTTATATAATACTTTTTACGATCGTGAATTTTCTTTATTAATTTATTATGA